GCAAAAGTTATAACAATACAGCACACAAAGAGAAAGGAAACTAGAGAAGTATATATATTAATTCTATAGTATGATTACTATTGACGTTACTTTAGCTCCGCTGGTTCCAAGTTGGATTAATTACATCATAGGTCAGAGGATCGATTCCTGGGCTGGTTATATTTTGTTTCTAATTTTTTTGGTTATTCTAGAAGTAAGATAAAACGACGTCGTTTTATCGCATGGCGTGGCATCTTAGTCACCATTTGTTAACGGAACAATAACACCGTTTGTCGTTTTGATGGTTTTGACCGAATATGCATTGTTCATGTAGGAAATTCAAATTTTAGTTGTATTCATGTTGTTATAAGCACGACTTAAAATTTTGTGTATGAATACGATAAAGCAACTAAGTTTATGGAGGAATATGCCGTTTTCCCGAAGAAAAGGTGTATAAACTCAACAAGGCCTTGTATGGTTTGCGTCAAGCACCTAGAGCATGTAACACCAAACTTAACCGCATTCTCCTAAAGTTACAATTCAGGAAGTGTGAGGAAGAGCAGATTGTGTATCGGAAAAAGATTCAAAAACATCTTTTAGTTATCGCCGTTTATGTTGATGACCTTCTAGTCACGGTAACCAGTTTGAATGTTATCAACAACTTCAAGGCTGAGATGTCTTCGAGGTTTGACATGAGTGACCTTGGAAGGTTGTCTTACTATCTTGGGATTGAAGTAATACAGCATGGTGAAGGAATTACTTTGAATCAAAGTCGGTATGCCCTAAAGATCTTGGAAGAGGCTGGTATGAAAGATTGTAATCCGGTTCATACTCCTATGGAAGTTGGTTTGAAGTTGTCAAAATCTGAGCATGAAAAAGAGGTGGATGCAACGGCTTATAGGAAGAATATTGGATGCTTTAGATACTTGTTACACACAAAGCCCGATCTATCATACTTCGTGGACATCTTAAGTCGATACATGCACAGTCCTAGAGCATCGCATGCAGCCGCAATGAAGTAATGCCTTAGGTATTTAAAGGGAACAACTTCGCTCGGGGTAGTCTTCAAGAGGTGCTCTAGTGTACCAAAGATAAGCGGCTATAGTAATAGCTCTCACAATGTTGATGAAGATGATGGAAAGAGTACAGCCGAACATGTGTTCTACTTAGGTGACAGCCCGATCTCGTGGTGTTCGCAAAAACAAGAAATGTGGCGCTCTCCTCGTGTGAAGCTAAGTTCATGAGCGGAACAGAGGCGGGAAAGCAGGCTATATGGCTTGGCGATCTTCTAAGTGAGATTACCAGAACTATGTGTGAGAAAGTGACTATACGGATTGATAATAGATCGGTAATAGCACTTACAAAGAACCCGATTTTTCATGGACGGAGCAAGCATATACATCGACAGTATCACTTTATTCGAGAGTGCATTGAGAACGGTCAAATTGAAGTTGAGCATGTCCGGGGGAGTGAGCAAAAGGCGGATATTTTGACTAAGGCACTTGGGAAGATTAAGTTTAAGGACATGAGAGAGCTCATTGGTGTTGAAGACTTGAAGAGTATGGAGTTCAAGCTTAAGGGGGAGAAACTTGAAGTTCAAGTCAAAAGAAGATTAGAATTAGACTTTATATTTAAGAGATTATCTAAATATATAATTGTGAGTTTTCCTAAAAGGTTTAGGAAATAATGTCTAGTTCTTTTCTTATGTAAGGAGATGCTAAGCTTGTGGCATAATTTAAGTTTTGAGAAAGAGAGATTGAGAGCTTTAGGTTTTGAGAGATTTTCCTTAAGAAATAAAGAAGAGTAGTTCTTTATAATTTGTCTTAATCTTCTTCTTCTCTAAACTC